CGTGGAAGCCCAACATAGGCCCTGAGACCCTAAACCTTAGTTTTTCAAAGATGGCGATATAGGTTTCCATATCAGTTTTGTGGAAGCCCTAGGGGACCCCATCTAGCGGGGTGCCATACCTTCGCAACCATGGCAGGTGCTCATGGAAGCCTGTCAGATGATTTGTTTTGGGGACTCTCTCTTCCCTGCATGCTCCCCGTATACCTCTAGGGTTCCGTGGGATCCCCAGGTCCTAAAAATCCTCAGTGGCATGCTGTACTATATCAGGAATATTTAATGCTTAGTGATTCAGAACCACCTGAGCGTTTCTCAGGAGACTACGCAGGAGCTGTGGAGGAAGCCCACCCATCACTTGCAGTAACGCCCCTTGTATCCCTAAGCACGGAATTGGCAACCTTCGAAACCTAAGTAATTAGGGCCCTACCTAAACCCCAAAAGTATGTAGAATAATAGCCTTTTGGGCTATATTTAGGTGTTTTGGGCAATTGTTTTACCTACTTTTAGGGCCCTAAACCCTAAACCATATTTTAGGGTTCGGGGTTTTGAGCAGGACGGGTCCATCACCTGTCCTGTAAGTACCTTTGTTTTGAAGCCCAAGATATCCCAAGAGGTTCACTTTGGCAAGCCCCTGGATTTAGAGTTTAGGGCTTAGGGTCTTGGGCATGGTTGCTGAGACCAATATACCTGGGTCCTTGTTACAATTCCTCTGCAAATGGGAGTTTCCCAAAATTATGGGTTCAATCCTGAGGGTCCCCTGAATAAATTTGGATTATAACATTCTGGGGTGTAGACCAGGGTACACCTTTTTTTTTGAAAACTGCCAAATCTACGCGCTAAACCCTCAACCCTAAACCCTCAACCCTAAACCCTAAACCCTAAACCGTACACAGAACTCCACGAGAGTTTCCTTGGAGGGTCAGAGTTTAGTACCTAGGGTCTTTCGGCAGAATGCCGTCCTCTTTGCGTGCCCAAAAAGGGTCCTAAACCGTGATCTGATTGTGAAGAGGCGTCATAACAAGAAAAACTAAGCCCAAAGTTGATGCCTTCATTAAAATGGGTTCTTAGCAGCTGAGGAACGACCTTCTGAGTGAGCTCTGCTTGCCGAGCCCTCCGCTGCCTGGACTCTTCAGGCTAAGGGCTTAGGGTTTAAACCCGCTTTAGGGTTTAGGAGGCCTGTAGTGTAGCCACGTCCCTCCTTGTACCCTTACATCAATCGGGGTACATGGTTCCTAAGAGTGGGTACTGTATTTAGGGTATATGGAGGGTAGATGACCGATGGTCTGGGTAGGTTTCAGGTTTAGGGCTTAAGGTCTTGGATTCAAGCTTTGAGGTTTTGAGCCTACGGTTTTCTCCAGAAGCACGGTAGCAGCAAAAGCAAACTGCGACAAGGAAGAACCCGAAGTGTGCTTTGGGTTGAGGGTGTAGGGTTTAGGAAGGATGAGACCATACAGTACCATACACCCACGCAATTAAAGATGGAACACTATTTAGCCTTCCTTTAGAAAGGCGCAGTGGCTTTAGTACGGCACCCTTTGGGCTAGGAGCTTTGGGACCCTAAACCCCGAGTCAAATCCCATAGATACCTTCACTGGGAGCTTGAGGGTAACTATAATAAGCCAAAGCCAAGGGGTACCTATATTAACCCAGTTGCAGCCATACTAAGGGCTTATACTAGGTTATAGCGACAGTCATACGCACTGTAAAACTTAGACCCAGTGGGTGGTAATTGAGCTGAAGCTGCAATCAAGCTCTGGCAAGTCCAGGGCCAAGGGTCTAGGGTTTCGGGTTTAGGGTTTAGGGTTTAGGGTCTCTGACAAATTATTCTCATGCAGCCCTAAACCTGTTATGGCTGTTTTCGTGCAACCCTAAACCCTCAGCCCTCCACCTTGTATGGTTGTCTTCATGCACCAAACCCTAAGCCCTAAGCCTTTATGGTTACTTTGATGCTGCAGGCATTGGGAGGAGAGCTTTAGCTTTGTTAGGTAAAAATGTGTTTTTACCTTTGGGCTTTGTGTCCTCAGGGTTTAGGGTTTAGGGTTTAGGGCTGATACACATACATATATATATACATATGTATGTATATATATATATATATGTGGTTCAGGGTTTAGGGGCTTATGGGGAGTAATGCTTGCGCCTAGGTATTGGAGCGTGCCTTCACGGTTTCTCACAACACTTGGTCAGACAAAAATATTTCCCTGTCTTAAGCTAAGCAACCGCAAGGGAGTAGATGCAGGGTATGGGAAGAGTCGCGTAGGGGCCATGTCTTCATCTGCTTGACACCTGAGATATGTGGCAGTTTCCTTAAATAGGGGGCTATCGCCCCCCAAAAACCTATAACCCCTTTACAAAAAGACCCCCAAAAGGTACCCCTAGTTTCAGGAAACCCTAAACCTAAAACTGCCTTAAACCCAGCATCTTAAGTCTTTGAACTGAAGGTCCAATGTCTCCTAGCCCTACACCTTTCAACTTAGAAGCTAAAGCCCAAAGCTCCGAGGGTTTAGGGTTTAGAAACACGAGTGCTATCTACCATCCTAGCTAACACGGGTGCTATCTACAATCCTAGCTATGGGGGACATAGGGTTATAATCCGGTTATAAACTTAAGTGAGTAGTGTTTTATTTGGGGATATTATGGTACCCAATATAGAGTAAGACTATATCCTCCTTTTGGGGTATAGTATTTTATATAAGGAATATTATCTTACTAGGTTCAACCACCATCAAGTGTTTTCCTACCTAGACCGTGACACTGAGGCTGCTGGTGCAGATGCAAGAGATTCTTCAGGTGCCTGGGTTGCAGCTTTTGAACTGTAGTCTAAATTCTTCAAAGGGGGCCACAAAGGGTATAATATAGGGGAGTATTACAGGAGTTAGTAAGGTCCACATTCAGGGGTATACTAGGAGTTTAGACTACGACTGATTTGAAGATGTATATGCCAGCCACACAGGAGTCGCTGGAATTGTGGCATGGGCTTAAGGCTGAGGGTTAAATTCAAGTCAGAACCTAAACGCTGAATCCAGCTTCGAGGGTTGAGGGAGCTCAGCGGAAAGCGTGCAAGTGTGGTAGTTTCCGAAATAGGGGGACCCCACCCCAGATAGATCTTAAAATGCTATACTGCTCATTTTTCGGGACTCCCCCACAAATTCAACTTAAACAAAAGACGGCTCCTAATTTTGGGAAAGCCCCATATGGGCATCACCTGTGGCTAGGCTACTTAGGTCGGAAGCCCTGCAGCCCTACTTGGAGAGTCAGCGGGTCTTAGTAAGTATTCTTATAACCTTGGCTTGGGATTTGGAGTTTAGGGTTTGGAGTTAAGGTGTGAGGTTCGGGGGACTTAGTAAGTATGCTTATAGCTTATATACCGTACTAGGTACCCCAGAAGTACCCTTTTCCTTTTGCGTATTTTTGTGTCTCCTCATTAGAACTGAACATCAGGAAAAGGTTACCCTTATCATTATAGAAGGGGTTACTGAGGAACCTAATTAGGCTGTAACCCAGATAGTACCTCCAGTTATCCCATGGTTAAAGATTAAAGTACTTGCTAAGTCCCCCTCACTCCCCAAGTAAACTCTTTTCTGAAGTGCCACGCGAGTTGGAAGGTGCAGCGTGCAGTTCGCTTGGCTTCGTTGCCAGATCCATGCCGGCTTGTGCAGTCTTCTGGCTCAGGTCGCCCTTGATGAAGGTTCAAACCTTGGGGTTTTAAGGGTTTAGGGTTTAGGGTTCGGGGCCTCTGGTCCCTTTTAAATGCGTGATGTGCTAAAAGTTGGTTAGTTCCGCGATGGAACTGCGGTGACCGGGCTTTATAAAACTGATTCTTCACGCCAAAATGGTGGTGCTGATTCCAGGTTTGCCTTATCATAGGGTTTAAAGGCCTTAGAATCTTTGCAGCAATCCCAGTTGTGGCTACGAAGCCCCTTCAGCCATTTTCCTATCCCTCCCACTTGGAGTTCAATTGTATTTGAAACCACCCAAAACTGGGATCTAGAACCCAATTAGTCATTTCACATATCCATATTCGTGGACTTAAGGGCTTCTTTTTGGATTTAGCTGGGCTATAAGAATAGTTGCAGTTCGGTCATAACTGCCCTGAACCTCCAAGTACCATTTCTTCGGAAGCGCTGTGCCCGCACCACCCCAATTCCTAAACCCCAAACCCTAGATCCTGAGCCCTAAGCCCTAGGTTTGCGGTTGTCGGCGCGCCCGGAGTTGGCAAAACGCGTCTCGCGGGCGCCTACGCCCAAAGTCAGGCCAAGCCCCCGGACACCATGCTGGAGAGCCTAGGCGCGCTTTAAGTAGGTTTAGGGATTTAGGGTGTAGGGCTTAGGGTTTAAGGTTGTGGTTTTAGAGAAGCAGGAGTTTCGTGTTTTGATCTACTGTGTGGCTTGCCGGGGTTTAGCTTTTGGAATGTTCAGGGGCAGGGGGCGTGGTGTTTTCAGGTTTATGGCTGAGTGAGCTGAGGCTGTTTAGTGTTTTCGGGTTCAGCCCTCAACCCTAAGACCCTAAACCCTCAACCCCCAAACCGTCAACCTTTGGACCCGAAACCCTTAACCTGAACCCTAACCCTTCAAACCCCCAAAGCCCTTTACCCTGAAGTAAAACCCAAACCCGGCTAGGGTAGAACTCCGGGTCCTGCCCCCACCCCGTAACAGCCTAGAATAGGGGTAATGTTAGGGGCTATATATAACCATAATATAAATACTATCAAGCTGTTGCTGGGTGGGGGCAGGACCCAAGGTAGAATCCTTTTGGGCTAAAGTGTGGGGATGGTTTGTGACGGCGTGGTTAGCATGTCGGATGCCACTCCAGACGGCTAGCCCAGTGGCTTCTCAACTGTCTCCCGATCTGTAGTAGGGTTTGTGGTTTAGGGTGTAGGTTTCAGGGTTTAGGACCTGAGGTCTAGCTGTAGGCTTTACGGCCTAGGGTTTCAGTTTCAGAGTTTTAAGGTTTAGGGTGTAGGTTTTAGGGTTTAGGTCGCCGATTCCTGTCAGTTTTGCCAGGATTCCCTTCGTCCGGGTCATGGCTGATGGCACACCCATGAGGCCCTATTAGGGTTATATTGGGGTGATATTGGGGTTGTATTAGGGCAATGTGGGGGATAATGGAAAATACAATGGAAACTACTATAATATTGGCATTGCGATTGCGGTTCCCTGCATTCAGAATCCTCAGGTGCTAAGACTAATAAGGTGTCTGAGGAAGGGTGGGGGAACCCTAAATGTGGAGAAGCATCTTAAAGGCGAGGGTCCCTTGCTGCAGGCTCTGAGGGGTGTCTGGGATGACATTCCCTCGCAGTATGAAAAGCAGCAAGCAACTTGTATTATGGCACCAAAAGGGTACCCCTAATTTTTGGAAGCCCTAAACCTTGGGTACTGCCCCCACTCAGTAGCAGTTGGCTAATATGTAAAATATGGTCATATATAGCCCTTAATAGGACCCCTAATGAAGACTGTTACTGGGTGGGGGCAGTACCCAACTTAAACCCTATATATCTATATCCCTATATACCCTTGTATAAACCGCTGTAACCCCCTTTAAAGGACTTGAAGGTGTTCAGCGGGACTATGGCGAGGCTGCGCTGTAGTTTTGGTGATGAAGTGTTGAGGTGTTATGCAGGTTGGTGAAGGGTTCAGGGTTAAGGGTTTAGGGTTCAGGGTTTAGGGTTCAGGATTTAGGGTTTAGGGTTCAGGGTTCAGGGTTTAGGGTTTAGGGTTCAGGGTTTAGGGTTTAGGGTTTAGGGCGGAGGCCGCACCATGCAATCAGCCCGCACCCTGCAATCAGCCCGCGGGCCCTTTGTTGTTTGCTAATTAAACTGGGTATAACGGGGTAGTTTCCATGAATATGAGGCCGCAATAGATTCCAAGATACTAGGATCCTTATGATTAGGACCCGCAAGACACCCAATTCCAGAAACCCTTTGTTAAAGGCGCGCTCAACCCTAACCCCTAAACCCTGAACGGAAAAGCGCATCCCCGTAGGGTACTTCTGCGGGACGCTTCTTGGCCGGCCCGTCTGCCTACGTCTTTGTTTCTGGGCTGCTTCCATGTGAAGTAGGGCTGTTAGTATGGTTTTGGGTGAGTATACATTGGGGTCCTAACTGGCCCTTAGGAACATTGGTGAGCGTACATATTTGGTGTAATTAAAATCTGGGAATCTATAAATCCTACCATATGTTTAGCTAGGTGACTAGTTGCTGCTTTTTTCAGGGAGCCTATTCATAGATTACTTGGGGCCTTTAAAGTAATCCCCTCGCCCCAAACCTCCCTATAGTTCCCAAGCTATTATAGTAGACCATACAGCGAATATTTGATGTTAGGGGGGTTCGGGCTTGTAATGTTAGGGGAGAAGAGATTGCCAGCCAGTCAGGGTTCCCAGTGGTTGGGGTCGGGCCTGGGTTTAGGGTCCACTGGGGGTAGGTTTGAAAATATTCTTACTTTTATTTCCCTGAATCCCTACATATTTCTGATAAACCCATAAAGAACTGATTTTTATAGGGCCCGCGGGCTGATTGCAGGGTTCGGCCTCCGCCCTAAACCCTAAACCCTGAACCCTAAACCCTAAACCCTGAACCCTAAACCCTGAATCCTAAACCCCCAAACCTACCCTAGTTTAGGGCTCAGAGTTTTTGGACCTTGGTGGCAGCTCCTCCTGGCTCCGCGCAAGCCCAGATGCAAAAAAGACTTGTAAGTCCTGGGTTGCTGTTAAGGAACTTAAATTAAGCGATTATCCCCCTATAATGGAGAATCAAATGGAAAAGAAAATGGAAAATGAAATGGAAACTGGTGGAATATAGGGATTTAAGGAACTTAAATTGAGTTACCATAATGGGTATATATAGTAAATAATAGGGCTTCCCCAATATAGTAACTTAATTTAAGTTCCTTGAGAGCAACCCAGAATCCTCAGGACCGAAAGCAGGGAGTCCGTTTGGGCGGTATAAGAGTGCGGGTGTTTTGGTAGTTTATGGTTCAGAAAGGTTTTTTTTTTTTTGTGGGGACATCCTCATACCCTGTGCCCATTTTTGTGGACTTCTGCCGATGTAGCTGTTCAAGCTGTTGCTTTTGGTTCAGTCGAAGTAAAATGGGGAAGATATGGGTATAACCCTGGACCAGACTGGTCCCTCCGCGTAATATTTAAGCCCCCCACACCTTAACATTGAATATTCTCATTGTGGTATACTATGCTAGTTTGGACATATGTGATCAGGGGGTGGTGATAGTTTTAATCTTCGGGCTTACCAACATGCACACAGAAGAATCCATGCCGACTGAGGTTCCTTATTGGGAAAGATGCGCTGCTGCTAGTTTCTGGGTTGCTGTTGAGGAACTTCATTTAAGTGATTATATTGGGGCTATAGGGGATATATATATATATCTATATATAGAGGGTTTAGGGTTAAGGGCTTCCGCTTAAGTTACTATACTGCGGTAACCATATTACTTACAATATATACCCATTAAGGTAACTTATTTTAAGTTCCTTAACAGCAACCCAGGTTTTCGATCTGACCAACCCGCTGTCTTTGCAGGCAGTCCCCAGGCAGCTGGGCTCACTGGGATTTTCCTCGGGTAGGTTCTGTAATTGAACCCTAACATCCTAGGGTCAAAATTCCCTAAAGGGATCTATATAGGGTGATTGTATAGGGACTACTATAGGGCTTATTAAGGGGGAGTTTAGACTATGGCTCACGTTGATCTCGGAGACTCAAACTCGTTTACTCATGAACGCCTACGCGCCGCCCATGACAGGGCTGGTAGCTTGCTTGGGTTACTTGTCAGCAGTAGTTGCAACCCAGCTGTATCCAAACTAATTAAGTTGCAGGCTTCAAGTTGTATCACATCTACAGTGGTCAACCAGGTTCCCGGTTGCACATGCGGTCTACTCCCTAAACAGGCTACAGTGTTCCCACATGCTGCCAGAACAATTCTTCAGAAGCGCCTCTATGATTAAGAATGTCTAGCCTGAAGCCCTGAATTTTGAACCTTACACCTCAAACCCTAAACCCCAGACCCCAAACCCCAAAATCTAAACTTCAAATCCCAACCTTTCCCAAATCATTCCCACTGAATCCCCCTCTGACCAGGTGGATTCAGAGCGATGCCGCGCAGGCCCTGCCAGCGAAGCTTCTGATCGGCAACAAGGCCGACATGCAGGCCCTCAAGCAATCAAGCAGGATGTTAAGCTTGGAGCTTACCTAGAAAGCCTGTTACCCATAATTATGCAACTTTCAACTAATTTCCTATTACTTTGGGTTAAAGTACCCCATTATGATGCGTAACTAGGCTTTCCAGGTAGCGTTTAGGGTTTAGGGTTCAGGGAGTTTAGGGTTGAGGGCTCATTACGTTTAGGCTTTGGGAGGTTCACTACTTAGAGCCTTGAGGGTGCCGGGGATGCCATTTGAACGGAGTATTGCAGACGGAAAGCGCCGCATTTCCCTGTTTAACTTCACCGACAGATGACTTCATACAGCTTGGAACCCTAAATCCAAAACACTAAACTCCAAACCAAAAACCCTGAAGCCCAAAACCCTAAACTAGCTAGTAGCCTGGAGCCTGGTGTCTCCCATCCAACCCCTGACCAGACCATGCAGGCTCAGCGCAAAGTTTCGCGTGCCGAAGCCGAGAATTACGCCATGGCGACTACTGGCAGCTATAAACCTGAAGGGTCTAAGGGTTTACTGGGTTGCTGTTATGGAACTTAATTTAAGGTACCAGATTGCGGCAACCATATTCATTACTGTATATGCCCATTATGGTAACTTAGTTTAAGTTCCTTAACAGCAATCCAGTTTAGGGGTTTAAGGTTTAGACTTTCTCCGGGGTCTAAAGTTCGGGGAGGCTTGGACCAGTCGTATTGATCGTTGGATTACTCTCCTATCGCTTTAGGCACGCTTTCGAATTTCTATTGTAGTACAACCCCAAGGAACTCTGAAACAAATTTCTTAATTGTAGGCCTACCCTGAACCCTAAACCCTAGGCCGGATGAAAGGGATGACAGTACTGGGCTTTGGAGTATGGCTCATCCAGGGATGTTGAGGAGGCCTCAAGAAGCAGCCTCGCCTTCGAAGCCTAAACCGGTTTAGGGTTTGGGGCTTAGGGTTCAGGGTTTAGGATTTAGGCTAGACCCAAATCCTCAAGCCTCAGCCTTAAATTAAAGCCTATACACTTTACCTATCCATCTTGCCGGCCCTATTCCTAAGCTTCCGGCTCTTGCTGTGCGACTCGTATATACCAGAAGCTTTGAGAATCCTCTAGCGGTTTAGACCCTCAAGCGGATGAGGTTGTGGCTTTGTTTGGCAACTCATGGTCTCATTAACATGGCTTTGTACACAATGCTGCCTCAAAAGGGACCCCCAATTTCTGAAAGCGGCTATATTAAGGGATTACAATAGTACCTTTTCAGGGTTTAAGCCCCATTTCTGAAAGCAGCTATATTAAGGGATTAGAAAAGTACCCTCCCCAGGGATTAAGGAGCTAATAAGAACTGGGGGTACCGTTGTAGTCCCTTATCTGTTCATGATCGAGGAATGGTTTGGCTTACTTCGAAACCTCTGCCGAAGATGGAACTGGTGTCGATGCAGTCACTTGGCCATTTTAACAGACTTGAGTTGCACACATCTCGCAGTACATGATGAACATGATGAGCCCGTGCCCTCTCCAAAATGAGATAGACATGTTCTTGATACGAAGCTATAGAGTTCCAGGCGAGATTTTTGAGGGGGGCACGCTTCAGTTGGACTCCAAAAATGAAAGCCGCTGTGAAGTCGTAAATCCTTTGCTCTGCAGCCCTCAATGTCAATGTGCCTGTTCTGGACACAAAACACAGCAGAGCCTCGCAAGTTGTGGTGGCACAAAAACGAACGTAAGACTGTCATAAGGTAAAGGCTTTAGAGGCTCCGTGTGGCTCATGTAGGCCATGTGATTCACTGGCACCTACATACACCGGCAAACCCTCAATCCATTTCAGCTTGGTTGCCAACCTAATCTTTGGTAGTCCTGAAGTTCACTGAAGCGCTAAGCCTGAAATCATTCTAAACTCTTCCCCGGCGCCCTCTGAAGCTTTATAGGCCTTTTTGAGCACCCGGCGAGCAAAAAAGTAACTGTAATCCGTGTAGTCCTTATAATGACCCAGCATACACCCCAAAAAGTTTACATGTTCTGACTTGTGCATGAAAGATTTGGGTCTCATGGGCTCCTCAACCCTATGATAAGCCTTGTACTACACACCCTACATGGTAGTTTCCAAAAATGGGGGGACCCCAATATAGACCACAATATACTAGTGTCTTTATTATGGGGTCCTCCCAAATGGAACCCCTAATTTTGGGAAATCTCTAAATTGCCTAAATGCTGAACCCAAAGCACCTCGCACCGGTCCCAGGCCATGGACTACGCAATTTTCCATGCTCCTTGATTGCTGTTGGCAGCTATGCTTTACATACCGAGTTTTAGTAGGGAATATGGGAATGTGTTATATGAGCTATAGCCTAAACTCCCTCAAATGGGGGTTATATAGGGGAGTATCTAGGGGACTACTATAGGGGTTATTAAGGTGTATACTAGGAGTTTAGACTATAGCTCATATGAGGATTTTATTCCCGTATGCCATATTCAATTATAATTAACCACTGGTAAGTTCATCTTTCGGCTTAGAGGTTGGGATTCTTGCCCGAGCGAGGATGATATATGATTTTGGGATTATAGGGAATTAGAAAAGGGATTACATAGGATTTAGGGATTATAGGGAATTATATAGGGATTACATAGGATTTAGGGATTATAGGGAATTATATAGGGATTACATAGGATTTAGGGATTATAGGGAATTATATAGGGATTATATAGGGATAATGGAAAAGGGAATGGAAACTACTAGACCAACTACTATATAATAGGGTTATATACATTCCCGCCCCTGACTCTGAAAGCCAAACCTCGAACAGCCATACTAAGGCTTTCAGGATTGCACCCCGCAGCCTGTACCCCTCAAGGCTTCTGCTACTGTACCCCCCAAATAGCCCTTATGTATGAACCCATATAGTTTCTAGGATCCCCTGCAGAGATCCCAAACTAAACCCTAAAGACTATAGACTTGGGCAAGGCAACGATGGGAGCTTGTCCAGGGCTTAGGGTTTAGGGTTCTGCTTAGGGCCCCAAACCCTAAATCGAAACCTTAAACCCCAGACCCTAAACCCTAAATCCCAAAATCTGAACCCTAGATCCCAATCTCTAAACCCTAAACTAGGGTTCTGGGCTGGCTTAGCCTTGATTCCTTGAAGGCCTCTCCATCGATAGGGCCGTGGTTGAACCTTCCCCCCATTAACATCCACCTATATAGGAGGCGAGAGACGAACATGTTCTTCGTGAGTCGCATAGTATTTCGATGTTTGTGAATCATGCTCTAGGGAGCTTGTTTACGGCTATACTGTACATTGGGTCATTCACCCTTACAGTAGCATGAGCCACAGTGGGCAATCGGGCGGTTTTTATAAGACCCCTTTAAAGAGATACGGTAATTTCCCACAATACGGGGACCCCAATATAGAACCCACAACACTATTACAGGGGCCCCTAAAATGGTACCCCTAATTTTAGGAAACCCCCATACTGTAAGGGAGAAGGACCCAAACTGCATAGGCACAGATCCAATAGACCCTGAAGCAGAATTCTGGCTCGTGAACCATGGCCCTAAACTCCGAGCGCTCATAGTCCCCCTTAAGCAGATAGAATATTGGGTATATGGGGATCTTATTATAGTATACCCAAAGCCATATTCTATCTACTTAAGGGGAACTACAACCATAAACTCTACACCCTAAATCCTAAATCCTACGCACTAAGCCCTAAACCCTCAACCCTCGAAACCCGCGTGGCTAGCAGGCTCTAACCCTCAACCCTATATATAACCCCATTACAGTAGCTTCCATGTTCTGTTCCATTATCCCTATATAACCCCTAAACCCTAAAGCCTAAACCCTACATAGTAGTTTCCATTTTCTTTTCCATTACCCCCACATAACTCCAGTATATGCCCTTTTATTACATAGTAGTTTCCATTTTCTTTTCCATTATCCCCACATACCCCCCTAAATTATTATTACAAGTATTATCGGTATTGGTATTGTTATCGTTATTAAACCCTAAAACCCAAACCCCAAACCCTATTATGCCCAAGGCTCTTTCAAAGCTGAAGAGCCTCCCATCGGACCTGACTCCCCCTGCGGAGTCCGCTGATGAGTTCCCCAGTGGCTTGGTCTTCCCTGACCCATCGGGGTTGAAGGTTTTGGGGTTTATGGTTTATGGTTTAGGGCTTCGGGCTTCGGGTTTAGGGTCTAGGGTGCAGGGTCTAGGGCAAGAGTCCCTAAAGGTTTACGTAGGCACTTCAGGCAGTTCAGGCCGTTTAGGGCTTAGGATTCAGGCTTTTCTGGTTTGGAGTCACAGTTTCAATATTATCCAGGCCTAGGGTTTTCACTCTGACCAGCAAATCAGCTGAGATTCGGGTTAGGGTTTAGGATTTAGGGTTTCCAGCAAAGAGCCGGCCGTCTATCCTTGTGGCTTCCCATGTTCCCATTTTAAGATTAAAGTTTGCAGTTCTACCAGTCACGTACGGAGTATGACTGAACAGAGCTTCCACACTTTGCGCAGTGTGGCCCCGAAACCCAAGACCCTACTCACAGCCTTTTTGTAGGGTTTTCACCTGTCAACTAAGGATGCCATGTACAGTGATGCCTTTGAGCACCAAATTTCAAGGCCCACGTCTGCCCTCCGTTGAGGGGTTTAAGGCGTGGCTAAGGCTGCTAAGGTGTAGAGGTCGTGGGTTCTGGGCTTTGCAGTTACAAGTCTTACCTGGAGGATCAGGCACTTCATACCCGTATCATATTGGGACGAAGAGCTTTGCTCACACCTTCACTTGGGCTGTTCATTCGGGGGAGGTTGTAGCTTAGAACCCTAAACCCTAAACTCCAGGGCTGCGCATCAGTGTCCCTTTTGACTTTTGACCAGCCAAGTTCTTGGAGGGTCATGGGGGACTTGGAAAGTAAACTTAGAACTAATCACTTAGGAACCCCTGAACACCTACAGTAACCCCAGTTACACGCATTATCAACCTCCCTACCAAGTCCCTATGACCCCGCAAGCTAACTTTCAGGTAAATGGGGGCGGTTCCCTTGGACAGGGTGGCAGGGGGACCCCAATCTAGACCCCCCAAATACTATATTCTTTATCATGCGGACTGCCAAAAAAGATATCCACATTTTTTGGAAACCCCCATGCAAATGAAGTCTTAGATCCTCCAAGTAGACGCCAGGTGCCTTGTCGCTTTTGAGTGCATGTGAAGAGTCAGCTCCTTTGAAGAGGCGTAAAAAGAACGTGTCCGGCTCAAACATGGGAGGTTTTCAAGGAAAGGTGGGGTTCAGGGTTTCGGGTTTAGGGTTTAAGGTGTGGTATGATTGTATATAGGGACTATAAGGGCTGAGGGCTCTACAGGCTAAATCGGGCCACTGCATGTCCCCGTCCTGTCCTTGGGTTTGACTTGAGGGTATATCTCAGAGGAGAGCAAAATTTCAGAAACGCGGTGTGACAAGAAGGCATGGGACCCCGGGCGCGGGGTTATAAATACACCCTGTTCTGTTACAGTAGCTTCCATTTTCTTTTCCATTATCCCAATATAACCCTAATATATCCCCAATATGACCCTAATGTGTTTAGGGTTTAGGGCTTAGGGAGCTGGAGTTCAGAATGAAAACCTTTGAAAGGCCGAAGGGCTTCCAGGGGCTCTGCATGTTCTAGTGGGCTTATATACTTTGCTTGAAGATTGAGCATACATTTTTCGGCATCCATCCAGCCCTACCTGAGGCAACTTCCCACACATGGGTTGAAGAAACCAACCACGTGAGGAGGATGTTCAGCTTGGCTAGCATCATCTCTCCAGCCAAGCTGAACATAGGGTTTAGGGTTTAGGGTTTAGGGGTGGAAGGGCCAGACTCGACCAGTGCACCCTTTGTTTCTGACAGCTTATGTGTTTGTAAGCCGCACTCCTTGTTGATGGTGCCTAGTTCTGGGTGTGTGTTTCTGCTGCTTTGGGTCCTGTGGAAGTTTATCCAGAGCGCTGTCCAAATGTCGAACACGGCCTAGAAGCATTCAGTGCGGGCATGTCACGTTAGCTGGCATCATACAAACGGCCATATTCAACAACCATTTCTGTACCCATGCTGAGCTAAACGGAGCACGGCGTCTTCTCAGCTTCGCATGTGCAAATGCAAGTTCAGACCACATAGGGAAAGTCTATGGCCAGGGCCTCACCGGCAACTTGAACCTTTTGTGATAGCATGCTTCCCATTGGCCAATTCGCCGTGCTGTGAACATTGCTCGTCACTTGCTGTTGCAGCCATGGCTCCTTTTCGTGTGCGGATTTTGCAGCTATCTGGCGCACTCCTGGGTGAATCGGAGCTTGCAGAAACGGCAAGGATTGCCGATGTGCTTGCTACTATTCAGCATAACGGCGTCGATCCAGTGCAGAAACTTGGTTGTTATCACCTCCCCATAACAGTGCATTGCTGAGTCTCTGCTAGCTACCCATCTCCTTTCAAAAGCCTCAGGGACGAAACTTGAAACCCCAAGAAACCCTGAGAAAACAGACGTTGGCCTGGCAAATCCTTGCAAAGGAAAAGGACGCTGGTGCTGGAAGGTCGAGCTTTGGATGAAGACGAGCTTCTACGAGATTTGATTGCCGCAGATTCGCCTGTCCCAGTGGCTCTACTTGTATGGTTGTTTCCCAAAATAGGGGGACCCCAATATAGACCCCAATATTATAACCCACACTTGTATTGCGTCTGAGCACGGTTATCGCCCCTCTGGTCATTCGTGTTGTTTCCTCTACCGCCGTTTTACTGCTCTCGCTACGCTTGGCACGTTGTTTTTTTCATGTTTCTTGGTATAGGTAGATTTGTGCCGGGGCATCTGCAAACTGCGTGCCCTGTGTTGGAACCTTTCAGTGTTCTATGCCTCTATATATATATATCAAATTATATATATATGTATGCATGGCAGGGCTACTTTGAGATGCTCGATTCCTCACAGTCAGCTTGTAATATTGGCGGCTTCCTGATCGTTTGGGTGCATGTGGACACCCAGGTGGAGATGCATGAGGTTTTGCAACAGCGGCGTTTTTTGGAATGATCCATGGCAATGTTTTCCAGCTTTCAATGTTGAGGGCATGGTGCCAGCTTCACTTATATAGGCCTATGATAACGGAGCTTCCTAAGCACCCAGGCGTTTGGATCCCTTTTATAGTATAATGCCTAGTGCAGCAGACAAGTGCATTCATCAAGGGTCTGCCTCTAGAATTCCCCACACTCCCTAAGCTTACTGGCCCTTTAACAGGGGACTTTAGGGGGTTCCTTGCTGGCTTGGGAGGGTAACCCTACCTGAACCATACCAATCCAAAATCCTAAGTCCTACATACTGTATCCAGCCTGCACCCTGCAAAGCCCCATAAACCCTATGAGCCTTCATCTTCTAGTATCAACCTCAAGACCTAAACCCTATAAACCCTCAACCCTACCTATAAGCCTTTAACCCTATGAGCTCCGACTTCTAGATCCTAAGCTGATAAAACCAAAAATCTGAACCCAATAGCTGCCTTGCATTCAAAATCCTCTAAAGCCTACCCGTAACCCGGAGCACCTACAGTTTCATGGGTTATACCGACCATCTCAGGGGTCATTACTACTAAGCTGTAGGTAATTGGGACTTTAGGTCTGTCCCCCAGAGCCAGGCTTGGAGCGCATCGCTTTGTCGATGGAGCCCTGTAGATTACTTCATCTTGGTTTCTGCGGCACCTCGAGCTAGATATTATAGTCCCCCTTGAGTAGATAGAATATGGCTTTGGGTAGATTATGATAAGATCCCCATATACCCCAGATTCTATCTACTTCAGGGGGACTATAAGTTTAGGGTTTACGATTTAAGGTTTAGGGGTGTGTAGGCCTAGACCCTCCATCTGCCATCTATGAAGCCTAAAAACCCACTATTGGGGACCAAAAGCCCCACTTCAGGGTAGAGCTTGTGTTATAAGGGTTATGGGCTTGAAGGGCTTAGGGCCGGTAAGATTCACGAAGTTTCCTCAGGGTTTATAGGATTAGGGCTTAGCGCCTTGGGGTTTAGGGCTTAAGAGCGTTGAAACAATTTTGCATTATTCAAAGGATTTGTGGGGTTCACCGGATTTTCAGGGCTCAAGGTTTGTTAGGGTTGGGGTTTCCGGCGTCGTATGTAACAGATAGACTTCTCATTGCGCTCGGTTTGTCCGTGATTTCCTTGAAATAAGTTTGTCGGGGTTGGAAATCTTGGTTTTTGCTGCAGTCATTTTTTTTCTGTCGTTTTTCAGTTTCCAAGTTAATGCACCTTTTTGGGGTTCAGCAATTGAGGAGTGAGCGTATATTTTCAACCCTGAAGCTTCAGCCCAAAATCTGAAACATTGAACCCTAAAACAGCCTACTATAGCACCCTAAATGATAACCAAGATTGTGGTCCTAGGCTCCTTTAGACAGGTAGTGTATACATATCATATGTATATATATATATATATCTATATGTGGTAGTTTCCCTAAATAAGGGGACCCCATATAGACCCGCAAATACTAGAATCCTTATCATGGGGACCCCCCAAAATGGTACCTAGGAAACCCCCACACAGGGTGCCTCCAAACGACCTCAAACTGACATTGGTGCGTAGGCCCCTGCATTACATAAATCTCCAAAAGCCCCGATAGAATCCCAAGTTTCCATATTATTTGTTAGTTTCTTTCCCTCTGCATCTCCACTTTTGCTGCAGTATCCCTAGACATCCCTTTACAATTCATATACCCTGTGCCTAAAGACCTGCACTCACATTGAGACAGCAAGGCCGCCGTGGCGTTGGAAAAACGAGCCTGGGTTGATGTGAGCTATAGTCTAAACTCCTTTTTAGGGTTTAGGGTTTAGGGGGTTACATAGGAGATTATATAGGGGACTACTATAGGGCTTATTAAGGGGCATACTAGGAGTTTAGGCTATAGCTGATGTGCGCCCTCATTGGAGGTTCATTCAGGGTTTGAGGGCTCGGGGTATTATAACTCCAAGGAAAAAGAGATTCTGCAGGGTTGTATTGTACTTTATACATATAATATGGGGCTTATATATATATATATACACGCAGGGTTTAGGGCAATCATAGCCCGGCCTTCGTGGGGTTTCCTTAGCGACTTGTTCCCTTAAGTAGATAGAACATGGCTTAGGGTATGGTAAATAAGATCTCCATAAGACTGCATATTCTATCTACTTAGGGGGACTATACCCCTAAACTCTAAGCCCTATATTCCATCTACTTAGGGGGGACTATAGTCTGGACAAATTGTACCCCTTGGACTGTAAAGGGGAAAAGCGTAGAGAGTCCCACATGGCCAAGTGCTAAGCCCAGAGCTCTGGGCCTTCGAATGTTTCGGATGTAGGGTTTAGGGTTTAGGGCTAAGGGAAAATTGGCTAAGGAGCCTCGTCTCCAGATACACTGGCAACTATGATAGCGAAGTCATCCTCGCAGCCGAGCGAACACGATTGGACTTCCAAGTCACGCGAGCAACTCCTGAGAATATTTAGGGCATACCCAGGGGCTCCCATGTAGCTCCTTTTTCAGTTCGTTATGGTGGCTTAACGCAGGATTATGCTACACATTACGTACTACGCCACTCGAC